CGACGGCCAACGGGACACTCGCCTGGGCTAACGAATGGTTAGGCTATTTGGCACTCGGCATGTTCTCAATGGTGCTGTTTATACCGACGTTAGGTATTATAGGACTTATGGTTTGGGAGTATTTCTCCGATGAGGCCGAGAGGAAAGCCGAGCGCCAGAAGGAGATCGAGCAAGTGGTGAGTCTATCGCAACTATTTTCACCACTATTTTATAACAATTTAATTATCACTTTAAAATATATTATAAACACTTATAATTAAATACATGAGTACAATATAACTGAGCACTTATGAGATAATTGTTGATTAAAACACTTGTGTCTATGTCTTGGATCAGATGCGCGAACGATATTTTGGCAAAACAAAAGACAAAGACGAGGATAACGACGATTTGGATGATTTGGACGAACAGATGGACGGAGAAGACGATGACGACGAAGAAGAGGACGAGGAGGAAGACGAGGGACCGGCAGAGAAGGAGACACTCATCCATAAGCGCAGACCTAAGATGACAAAAGCCGAAGATTACGACTGCCTTTAGCCTCAAAGCCTTCATTCATAAAGTTATTTATTGTTTATTATTTTATATTAAATCTACGGAAATATAATTCTTGGCGTTAATTATTTCTCAAAATAATACAGTAATCTATTAATGTATTAATTGTTATTTCTATTTGAAAAATGAGAGACACATATGATATGACTTTGTATTCTTTACGGCAATAATTGTTATATAAAGACATAAAAAACAAAGTATTGATTATACAGTATATTTCTAGTCACATCTCTATGCGTTTGTTGGCATAAAATATAACACAGAATCTATTGTAATATATATTTTCACATTATTATAAATTATAATCAAAGTGTTTTAATATTGAATCATGTAATTAAAATATCATATTAATATTATAAGATATTAGAACAATAATAACACCACGGTTGTATTTTTTATTAATTATTTAATTAATTCATACTATTTTATACACAGATTCATACAGTAGTGTGGAATACATACAATTATATAATGTTAATTACCTTTACTATTGTTATAATTTTCTATACTATTACTAAATTGTTATTTATCTAGATTACAATTTTAAGTAACAAACACCGTGTATTCAATTAGAGAAAAGCGCTTGATTAATTATATTGATAAGTTATTTTACTGATAACGAAATGCTAATTTCATGACAACTAACATTGATTACCAAATGATAATGACATGAATGTATTGTTTTTATTGCAAACAATTATGATATTACACTAATAATGGCCATCATATATGAGTCTTTGTCATAATAATTAAACTAAATGTAAAAATACCATATAATTTACTTATTATTTATTTATCTAAAAATTACCTTTCATGTTTTGGTAGCCAGATACTTGAATGTCCCAAAAACATGAATACCTGGAAGTGTTTAGTGATATTGAATGCATTGTTTTTATTGAAATGTGTTGATTGTGGGGATGATCTAAAGCCGGGACAGTTGGCAGTGATGGGCACCTTTGAGCCGAACCCAAAGGTTGGCACAAACATTACATACACGTGCAAAGCCAGAGTGGATTGCCTTAAATTAGCGGCAGATAATGGTATGGATTGCCAACAACTTGAAGACTTGATCTGGTTTTTGCCCCGAGAGCTGAGAGAGCACGAGCTAGTTTATGGTAGTGGTTCGACCAGGGTTACTTTTGATCAGCAAAACAAATACTCTACCGATGAATACAAGACTGCAATCGTCACCAGTATTATCAAGATTACCAGCTTTGGTACCATTCATAACGGAAAGTATATCTGCACTCACGATAGACTTATAAATACGTACAGTTTTGAAATATTTACTCTGGGTATAAATGCATTCACTATTAATATTATTGTATTCTTTGTATGCAAAAAACAACAAAAATTGAGGTTAAAATTTTTAATTAATCTACAACTACAGGAAATATGGCCAATGATTGGTGCGATTATAGCGATCACTGCAACAGCACTAATTGTTATACAAATCAATGCAAATGTAATGCAAATGAGGTATACATTGTGGAGAAAGATCAGTGTATTGAGGGTATGACCATGGTCAACATACAGAATATAGTAACAATTTACACTGTTATTAACCAATTTGTATTTAACACATTTAGTATCGAGTTGGGACAGCCCGTGCCAATACGACGAGCAGTGCTCATATCATTTGGGCAAACATTCGGCCCAATGCTCGGCCAACCGGTGCTCGTGTCGGGACGGATACACTCTTTGCTCAATACCGTTGAGGGGAAAGAAGTGCCTAAAGACTGGTGAATAGATTGTATTTATAATTCACTATTAAATTAAATTGTTATAAATTATTTTGTCATAACATGCATAATCTCAGCGCAACTAAACGACACGTGCCAACACAGTGACCAGTGCTCTACTAGAGTGACCAACTCTTACTGTTCGGCTAAAAATCTATGCGATTGTAAAAGTGGTTATTATTCAAGCGATAGCGTGTGTCAGCCGTACGTGAAGTGCGATTCATCGGTGTTGGGATTTAATGAGCGCTATATTCAGGGCGATTGTCCAGCGAATCACTTTTGCAGGGATAGTGTTTGCCTGTGTCAGCCCAACTATAAGGCACAGGGAGGCGATTGTATCGCAACTTCAAGTAAACTAGATGGATTTATTTTAATTATTTTTGCAACTAGTAACTATTTGTAATTAGTAAATAATTAATAATTTTGTATCAAAGCGGGAAAAGACAGAACTTGGTTAGATAATTATGGCTATTATATAATTGGAAGTTTGGCTGTAGTTCTTGTGGTCACTCTATCGCTGATTGCATACCAAATGAGAAGACGAAGGATACTATCGTAATGAAATGTTTAATCCGTTTTGTATTGTAAATAGTTATCAAATGTATTGATTTGTTGTTTTTATAGCCGAAACCGGTCTCAACATAACAGTACGGATGCGCTAAACGTTACGGACGTATCAATAAATTAGTGATAATAATGTGATATATTTATATAAAACTTTATATTATTCTTGTGTATAAATCTGTGTATGTTTGTTATAATTGTTAAATATTTTATTCGTTTATTGTTATTATCTATTTAGAGACAATTTTTATATTAGAAAAATGTTATCAATGAATAAAATACTGCTTTATTTTATAACATCTAACATTTATTTAAAGAAAAATAGTTCATTTGATCTAAAGTTTGTAATTAAAATATTAACATTTAATGTTGGTGAAATTAGTCAATAGGGTTATTCTTAATTTTTAAACTGAAAACAATACTGCACTAAACGGTGAAAGGTTAGTAAACAATATTATAAACACTTGCTATAACTAATAATTTATTACAATGACAATAATTTTAAAAAGAATAGGCATGTTCAATTTATACTGTATACGGTATGTGACAACAAGTCCATTTTATAAATAAAATAATTTCATTCGTGTGCTATTAATAATTATATAATTTAGATAACAGTTAATTTCATTGAAATTGTGTAATAGATTGACACAACAGTACAAATGTCTGACAAAACAAGTGTCATTTAGTCTACAATAAGACTTATACAGTATAATTAAACCATTTATTTATAAAATCGTTTAAATCGTTCATTTCTCTCGAAATTCAATGCTATTTATCAATAATAATCGTGGGTTAAGGTTAAGGTTATGTCTACAGTATATCTGTAAACACATATCATTAATGCATTTAACTTACTGTATAACATAAAATAAACTTAATAAATAAGACCAACTTTTATATATTAAATACATTAATTGAGTTAAATGTTAAAAGCATATGGTTAAAACTGTTATATATTAAAAAACACTATCCATAGATAATGTCGGAAAAAAGTGGCGTTAAATCAATGCCTGAATGGGAATTAAGTGATCAAAAAAATTGGTTGAGAGGCCAAACACCCGATGATATCCGGGAGCGGTGTCTGACTCTGTGTCGCGAGTATATCGGAGACATTTGGCTCCGGGTCTCACTCGACGAGATTGTTGTCAACCGTATTAGCGGTGGACTCACTAATCAGCTCTACTATTGCGCCACCGATAAGACTCCAGCGGCTGACCATAATCCAGATGTGCCCCGAGAGGTGGCCATCAGGTTATACGGCGCCAAACACTTCAATAATGATGATAATGACGGCAATGAGAGGCTCACAGATGTAGTGATCGCTCTCCTGGTGTCCGGCACTTTGGGACCAAGACTTTATGGTGTCTTCGATGGCGGACAGATCCAGAAATATTATAAAGTAATTAATTGATCTAGATAATTAATTTAATGTTACTGTTTATGTCATCATGAGTGTTTTTAAAACTCTCAATTATCTATAAATTTTTATATTTGTTATTTTTGTTGATAAATAGCACAGAAGTTTTCGCGGCGAAGAGCAGAAAAGCGCTCAACTGGTGGACCAATTGGCCCGAAAGTTGGCCAGAGTTCACGCGCTGAACGTACCCCTGAAACGGGTGGGGAACTGGATATTTGACTCGTTTGACAGATATTACAAAGAGTCGACCGATAGGTTTGATTTGAAGGCACTGATCGACGAATGCCATTGCGAGACATTGAAGAGACACGATCTCAAGACAGAGCTGGAGTGGCTCAAGAGGGCTATACTCGGCACCGATAGCCCGATCACATTCACACACATCGACTTCCGGGGCTCAAACATAATGGTGTGCGAACCGGACGACGAGCTCGTGTTTTGCGACTTCGAGTACTCCGGGTATGGCTATCGCGGGGCAGACTTTGGCACCATATTTGCCGAATGGAACGGTAAGCTGTGGTCAGAGCCCCATATTTTGCACAACTTTCCCGACGACCAGACAATCGCGCCGTTCATCCGCTCCTATATTATGGCTATCGCGGGGCAGACTTTGGCACCATATTTGCCGAATGGAACGGTAAGCTGTGGTCAGAGCCCCATATTTTGCACAACTTTCCCGACGACCAGACAATCGCGCCGTTCATCCGCTCCTATATCGACGAGTCGACGAAAGCCATGGGTTCGGCCTTTTCTGACCGCAAATGCAATTCATTTGATAATATGCTGAGAGAAGTGAAAGTGTTTTCGTTGGTCTCAAACATGTTCTTCATTATAATGGCTATTAAATCGGATAAACACTTCTCCGGTGAAGACACGCCCTTTGATAAGAAGGGATCGATGGTATGTATTGAGTGATCACTTTTGTTTAAGTCTATGATTTAATTTTTAATTTGTGTTTTTTGTTTTTTAGATATTCGCTGAACTGAATTACAAGAATTACTATCATTTGAAACAATTATTTATTGACCAAAAGGTCTTCTGAATTATATATATATATTGTTTTTATGTGTTGTTTTACTTTTACTTTAATTGTAGTTAAAAAGTCTGTTTATCTGTTGAAACAAATTTGTATTTCCAAACAATTATCAGACATAGATTACATACATGTACTCAACCCTATCTTATAATGTATGAGTGTGAGAGAGAGAAATGCAAAGACAAAGCTGTGGCAGTTCGCACTACACGCATTATTTTTTTCAGTCTCTGATTGTATAATATAGGGATTTGGGTCTAATTTGTTGAGCAATGGTTGCATAGTCTGTTGCCATACTTCATAACCCTTTACATTGAGATGGACTCTATCGTCGACGTATAGTTCAGTTTTCTGTCGTCCGTCCGGACTCTCAAATGCTGACCACATGTCCAAAAAGTGGACATTTGTCTCATTTGCCAGCGTTTTAATCAATGCATTGAGTTGTTTGCATTTGTCACCCAACGGTTCACCCCTGGGCAACACACCCAACAATATCATTTTAGAATTGCTCATTTTGGCCAACAATTGTTTGATTACTTCCCGCACACCATGTTCAATATCGTCGAGAGTGTTATTAAAGTTGATATTATTTGTGCCTTTAGTTTTTGAATTGAAACAAACAATTATTTATACAATTATTTATACAATACATGAATTGAGTAAACATATTAAGCATTAAAAGCAAATACCAAACCTATCATAAGGACAATCACTTTAGGGTCGAGTCCGTCAAACTCGTTGTTAGCGATTCTGTACAACACGTTTTCGGTGCGATCGCCGCCCACACCGTAATTGTAGGCGTGTCGGCGCCGGTAGTGTTTGTCCCATACAGTGCCTCCAAGATTGGCCCAATTATGGGTTATAGAGTCGCCCACAAACACTATCACCTCGTCCTTCATGTGGTCCCGGGTCTGGTTCACTAACCTCTGGTGCTTTGTCACCCAACCGGGTTCATCGGTGCGCCCCTCGGGTTCCCATGGGTGCCCCGCGGCCACCCATAACTGGCCAATAATTAGGTATAGGATTAACGACACTCTCGCTATCATTGTGTGTTGCGTTTGTTTTAACTCGTTCATTAATTAATACTTGTACTTTGATTTTAAATAATATGTTAAGTCTAAATATTGATAAGTACTATCACCATGGCCCAAAGAATGTTGCAGAACAGTACACTTGAGATAAATCTTATAATTTATATGACATGTTGTAAACAGCCTTGAATTTAATTAATCAGTGCTTTAACTAAAAATAATAGTTGAGTTTAACTCCAATCCAAATCCGCAACAAATGTTAAATTCACATCAAAATTGATAATTATTTGGTAAAACAATTGCCATTTCAGCACTGATTTCACATTTGATTTTTATTGTTTTTGCACAATTACTAACTCAAACTGATAGTATGAATAAATATCCTAATTAAATATTTATATAAAATCAAATCAATTTTAATAAGAATTTTCGAGTCTATATTTTAGTCAATTATATTTATTTATTCACAAACTTTAGTTTACATTATAAAAGTTTAGTGGTATTAAACATAATGAATGTAAATTCATTATTAATTGAGCAACTTCTTGAGCAGGGGTTCCATAGTTTGCTGCCAAACCTCATACCCTTTCTCGTTGAGGTGCAGTTTGTCGGACACATAGAGCTCAGTCTTTTGGTGTCCGTCAGCGCTCTCATAGGCTGACCACATGTCCAGCCAGAATACATTCTTATCGTTATTCAATTTCTTGATTATTGTGTTCACTTGTTTCACTTTAGCGCCCAATGGCTCGGCTCTGGGGAACACTCCCAACAGTATAAGCTTTGTTTCGGGCATTTTGACCAACAGTTCCTTCACTGTCTCCTCCACTCCGTGGGCGATGTCTTCAACAGTATTGGACGCCGCGTTATTTGTGCCTATTATGTGTTGAATCATGATCATTTTGGCACATGCAAGTTTAGTTTAATATAAATTATAATTATTAGATGTAGTCCACACACTTACCGATCATAAGAATAGTGACCTTCGGCTTTAGACCATCAAACTCTTTGTGTTGGATCCGATAGATCACGTGTTCAGTCCTATCACCGCCGATGCCATAGTTGAAGGTATGTCTGGGTGTGTAGTATTTGGCCCAAACAGCCTTTCCATTGCCGCCCCAGCCCTCAGTGATGGAGTCGCCCACAAACACGATCTGCTCCTCTTTCATGTGAGTCAGTGTTTGGTTGACCAGACGCTCGTGATGTTGGAGCCAACCGGCGTCCCGGGGCTGCGGATCCCACGGATGGTGTTGGGCACTGACGCCCAGTATTAGTGCGGTTATCACTATTAGGGACAGCATTGTATAACTCGGTGAGTATTTTATTGCACTTTTATTGTACAAATAAAATTGTATATTTGTTTTCAATACATGTGTTTAAATACTCTGAGAAAACTATTTATTAATTGAGCAATAATTGATATAAAGTTGATTATTAATTAATAGGTATTAATGACAATAAGTGATTGTTGTTATCGTAGCCACAAATCCTGGCAAAAGTGTTTCGTTATTAGAGATAAAGAAAAAGTACTTTAGGATCTAAAATACTGTATAATCACAGATTATTAATAACTTTCCTTATACTAACTTTCCTTTACATCACTTATTATTAACATAATTATTATATAAGCCTGTGGTCATACATTAGGTGTAAAGTATACTGTATGTTAATATATTAGCATATCTTCATTAAATAGCCTTTTATTTAAAAATTACTATTATATAATTACATTGAAATGTTTTTCCTTAATTATTTCAAGGTAATGATATAATAGTGATGTTTAAATAAATAACTATTTAATGAAGATATGCTAATATATTAATATACAGTATACTTCATATGAAACGGTTGGGATCATCCAGCTCTTAGCAATCATCTACACTTGATTGCAAAAATCTTGAGAACCGCTTAAGCAATCGATTTGCCGTCTTCAGGGATCTATTACCAGATAATCTACGCTCAAA